CTAAAAGTCAATAGAAAGAATCAACAAATCAAAGGACTTGCCCTTTGGAAGAATAAAAAATAAACTTAGCCAAACTTGCCATGAGAGAGAAAAAGATTCACCTCAGTCCAGTTAAAAATGAAAAAGCAAAATCACAGAAAACACCATTGAAATCCAAAAGATAGTAACTCCTATGAAAAAATGTATTCCTATAAATTGAAAAACTATGAGGAAATGATTAGATTACTGGATGCATCTAAAATACCAAAGCTAACTCAAGAGGACAAAAATGCTGCGAAACTCATAACATGTTGTGAAACTGAGATAGTAATAAAACTCCAACAACTAAGAAAAAGCTCAGGACCTGGGGGATTCACTGCTGAATTCTACATAACATTTAAGGATGTCATATCATCAATAATCTGTAAACTCTTCAATATTGAAAGGAATAGAGTACACCCAAATTCTTTCATGGCAGCAAGTAGCACTCAGATCCCAAAACCAGATAAAGACTCAATTAAAATAGAAAACTACAGGTCAATCTGCTTAATGGACATAGATGGAAAATCCCCAATACTATTGGTGACTAAAATGGAACACATTTACAAAGAGGTCATACATTATGACCAAGTAGGTTTCATCTCAGAAATGCATATATGTTTCAACATATGCAAATCATTAAATGTATTACATCACATAAGCAGAAGTAAGGACAAAAGGGGATTTAGAGATGTGAGGAGGGAAGTGGTGGGAAGTGCATGGGGATGTCACAAAGAAACAAACTGTGTTACCTACAGGCACCTACATGCACTCCAAGATGAGTGGAAAATTCATATACTGCAAATAAGTAGTATAAAATAAAATTTTTTAAAAAGAATTTGTAAAGGGAATTCATCACATTGAAAGAACCATTAATGAATAAAAACTAGGAAAATATAATCAACTCAGTTTTGACTAACCATACAGACAAATTTAAAAACCTATAGTACCGTACAAAGATTGAAAAACTTTATAACTTTTTCCCAAATATCAAAAAATAAAATAATGCTAACTATATTACTGTGTTAAAAGATAGAAAGTGTGGAAAGGTGTAAAGGATTGAAAGATTGAAAGAAACAAGAAGTATTTGAAGAAGCAGATGGGTAGAACTTAAACATCAGAGAAGTATACATATACACATGCACATCAGTACCTCTGCAATATGTGAAAGATTTATGTTTTACTTCATCAGTGTAAAACCCATTTAATTTAAAAATGTAGCCATCGTGGTCCCTGCAAGCAGCTTAATGTCTCCTTCCCTAAGAGACTGGGATGAGGAGCTGTAGGTATCCTCAGGGGGAAATCTCCAGAGATCACTGTGGCTCATAATTGTCTCCAGATCTCCAGGTAGAAGCCTCCAGGATCCCAACAGGACTCAGGCTGAAAACAGTTGAGAAAGGACTCGTTGCTGCCTTTGCTATTGGATGTCACTGACCCATCTGAGAGAGAGTCCTTGTCACCAGTGCAGGAGAGCTTCGGACCTGAGGACTGGCTGGGAGCCTGCAGCCACGGCCAAGGAAATCCCTCCAAGTAAGTTATATTCATGGACTTTTTAATGATAAGCTCTTGGAGAAGTGAGTCAAAGACTTATTATTTACAGAAGCACTTCTGTGACGTATGTGAGAAGAGTAATTGCATCATGTTTATTTTCTGGATGAGGGGAGCATTGTTCTTCCAAGGGGACAGAGGAATTCATGGTGCCTATGGAACTTGATCCAAGTGATTGTCCTCTTCCCCATTTTTCCCTGTCTGCCTTAGAGATGTTGGTAAATTAAAATATTGCTTGAGACAGAGGGAGCTCCTCTCGTAAGAGTTCAGCAATATCCCCTTGATATTTTCGTGATTTCATACCACTATTCTGTATTGATAGTTGCTCCTCATTTAGTAAACTGGTAAGCTCTTCCATTCCATAAACATTTTACTCAGAACTATAATTTATACAAATACAGGGCATAACTATACCTAAGATGAATTATTTTATTAAAGAAATGTTTCTGAAATATTTTGAAATGGAAAGATGAGCCTGTGGTATAAATGTCTTTCATAGAGAGTCTGGAGACTAAGCTGACAAATAATGCTTCTTTCCACCAAAATATGAATAAAATTTAAGAAAAATAGTGCTTTGAATGATTAGTGACATTCTCTTTTTCACCATATCTCATTTGGAGTTTCAAACACAAACACAAACATGATCTCAGAATACTGAGGTGATTCTTCTTTAAATTGCAAAAGATCCTTAAAGAAATGAGTATACTCCAAACTGCTTCTTCTTGGATGGAG